AACAGTGAAGCTACCACGCGAAATATCGTGTTCGTATCGGCGTTCAGAATACCACGAGACCGTTCATCTCATAGTACCGGATGCGCGCCCAGTTGACGATGGCGCCCGTGCCCTCCACCTGGTCCCGCTTGGCCCAGACCCTTTCCACCAGATCTCTCGCGTTGTAAATGTACCCAAAGCCGCACGTCCTCTCCATTATCAAGAGCCGATCCTGGATTATCACCCGATGCTCCAGCTTCCAGCAGGATCCGCCTGCCATGACCAGTGGGTACAGCAGGCATGTCTCGAGCGGGCTGCCGTAGCGAATCTTTTGCACGCACTCGAGAATCCCGTCGACAAACTGCCCGACCTTGGGGTCACCGAGATCGTAGCCCTCCACGATCTGGTGCAGCCGCAGACGGATGGCGTACTCAAACGCCATGGTCGCGTGCAGCACGTCGTCGTTGGCGGGCGTCAGCGACCACACGGCTCGCGACATGCCTCCGTACTCGTACGACCAGTGGTTGATGCGCCCCTCAATCTCCTTGGCGTGGTCTCGGAAGGCGGCCTCGGATGCACGGTCCACGCGCGTGCTTCGCAGGTCGGCGAGGGTGTTGACGCGGTCGACGAGGTGGAACAGCTCCTTGGGGATGCCGTAGACGGCAGAGTCCTCTTCGTCGGGCATGGCCGTCATGCGGTCGAGGGCGGCCGCCTCGGCCTCTTCCTCGCCAATCAATGGCGGTCGGCAGGTGGACGTGGTGGCGGCGGAGTCGAGGAACCTGGCCAGCCGTAGCAGAAACTTGTAGTGACCCGTCATCATGTCTCCCTGTTGCTTTCTTAGGGTCATCAATAAACGCTTTGCGCCCTTGAGATGCAGCTTCCATCCCTCGCTCGTGCCGTCAAACAGCTCCGTCATGCACAGCAGCAGGCTGCTCACCAGAGCGATGTCGGCGCTGGTCCGGTCTACGTGGGGGAGCAGGCGGGCAAGGGACTGCGTGGCCTTGCTCTTGTGGAGGAGCCCGCGGTCGCCCATGTCGGGCTGCAGCTTGCGCCAGTGGTTGGCTGACAGCGCGAGGATGCAGTGCAGGACGAGGTCGTTGCCCTGCGCCATGGGGAGGAGGTAGTTGTTGTACGGGTTGGTGCTCGAGGCCCGCCTGGACAGTATCGACGACACTATGGTCGAGTAGTGGTTGAGCAGGGCCTTGTCCTGGGGCGCGCTCAGCTGGGGCAGCAGCTGGGGCACGTAGACGGACAGCGACGTCATGGGCGTCGACTCAAAGGACGCGGCGGGGCTCCCGTTGCTGATGGGCGTGATGGCCTCGATCCAGCCCGGCGACGAGTTGCTCATGTCCCACGAGACCTTGCCGGGGCTCATGTCGAGCGACAGGCCGTTGGCCATGCCGGCGGTCGTCGTGGCGGGCATCGACATGGCGGCCGTGGCCATGGCCATGCTGGGCGTCTGGTCCGGCGGATGGCTGAAGCTCCCATGGCTAGGATGGCTGCTCGTGTGGCTGCCGTGGCTGCTGTGACTGCTGCTGTCGTAGCTGCCGTGCCGCCCGCTCGCAGGCGTGGAGACGGGGCTGGGGCTGTTTCGGATCGGAATCTCCATCATGGGGGCATCTGCCGCTGCGGGCGGCGGGATCACCGCGTCGACGCTGTTGTGCTTGGACACGGCCGCCGTCGACGAGCTCGACGAAGATGACGTCGATGTCGACGAAGCGGCCACGGCGGCGGCGGCGGCGGCAGCCTTGCTTCTGCTGTGCCGCTCGGGCGGCCAGGCGCAATCGAGGCATAGGCGGCGGCAGTCACCGCAGCGCGGCTTGATCTCGTCGCACTTCTTCTTGCGGCGCTTGCACATGAGGCATCCCGTCTGGACGCGGCGGATGCGGGCCTTGGGGACGTCGCCGTTCTGCGACTCGGCGCCGTCGCTGGCGCTGACCGAGTTGCGCGGCCGGCACGGCAGGCTCAGGCGGACGCAGCGGGCGCAGGGCAAGCTGCCATCGCAGGCCTGCTTGATCTGGGCGCAGCGATGGCAGACGGGGCGGCTGTCGGAGCCCATTTGGTGCTGGCGGGCGCCGCTCTCGCGCGCTGGCCCTGGCGGTGCGGCGTCTGGCGGCGGAGCGCGCGGTGCGGTGATGTACTCGCGGCACGTACGGACCTGTACGTGCGCCTTGCAGGTCGAGGGATCTCGGCCCTGTCGTCGCTGCTGGGTCGTCTCGGACGGGTGGCGGCGGCGGCGGGTGGTGTTGGTCGTGCTCGTTGGTTCGGTTGGTCGTCGATTCGCGGTCGCCGGGCGGGACGTGCAGCGCCGTTGCCGTTGCCGTCGGTCAAGGTGCGTGCCGGCGGTGTCCCGTGCTCGGTGCTGCGGCAGTTGGAAGGGGTCGCAGGTCGACTCGTCGACTCGTCGTCTCGTCTAGGTCGAGTTATCCGCAGCGCGCCTGCTTCCGACGATGGATGCTCGATGGCACGAACGAGCCGGTGGTTTGGCGGAGGACGGGAGCGAGATTGGACGGCGGTGCTGGCGGTTTTGGGGGCCTTTCGGGGAACCATGGAGCCCGTGGTAGGCAAGGCATTACCTGTCGGCTGGGAATCTTCGGCGAAGACAGGGAAGGGGAGGGGGTGGGAG